TGGCAGCTGATCGTGTCACAAAATGAGTTGCATTGTAAAATAAACACCCCGCCATTACTTTTCGGGGGGACTGTATATTGTGAAATATTCCATGACGTTTATTTCCGCGCTTATTATCTTCAACATCTGAAAGAATTTTTTTTAATCATGTTCGTGATCTCATCTATTGATAAATTGGACCTAGGTGGGTCATTTTTAGTGGGGCTGGCGTTATGACTCGAAGAGTCGCCTGTGGGCCTGTTATTTTCTTCGATTAATGGAATACCCATATCATCTATTACAATCCTAGCACGACGAGTATAAATTTTGGGAGGATATTCAAAGCTTATTTCTGCTTTGCGCATCCATAACCAATCTAATCCTAATACCAGATCAAATGGGATTTTTGCGAATTTGAAAGTCTATTACTTCAGTACAATCTAAGCTTCGCCACTTTCCTTTATAGTGAAACTGTAAACCTAAGCCTTTTATTTCTTCACCGATCAATTCAAGCTTATCGAACAAGCTCTTGCTAATGGTATTGGATTTAGATGTTGTATCAATTAACGCTTTAACTGGAATGTTTCCTTCTACAAGTGTCTCTATGGAAAAAAATAACTCGGTAAATAATTACCCATTCTCCACTACTAAATAAAATTATTTGTAATCCACGATGTGCATTTTCCGGATATTCTTAATTACACTTAACCTCACAACTAGTTCCATCGAGCAATGTAAGAGTTTTATTCGGGAAGTCCAGCTTCATTGCGTTATCTTTAAACCATGAGTTCCCTAACATCAGTACATGTTCAGGAATACTAACAACAAAAATATCAGTAACTTTTACTTGTTTCCATTTAGGGCCCTGAGCGGGATTGAAATAGGGATTTCACGAATTACTCCTACTATATCGAGCTTGCCAATGGGTGTGTATACTTCTACATCAGATTTCTAAACCTAATTCATTTACTACCTCCTCAGCTATAATATTACAATTAGCAACGGAACCTAATATAGTTGTACTGGTACTTTATTAATTTCGCAAAATAAAGTTATCATTGTGATGTTTTATTATAACAATATATTTAATTCTGCATTTTTAAATTCGTATTAATAAATAGAATATTCACACCATTCTCTCTTATATAATTATTGGTTGCAGAAATTAAATCTGTTCTATCTAATGATGGAGCTTATTTGCATTTTGATAATATCGATCTTCGGCTTGCTTCATAAATAATCCACCAGGTCTATAAAGCCATTTAATTACTGCATGTTGGGTTATTTTGGCTGAAATAATTTGGTTTTTTCCATAAACGATATGTCTTCTGGATAATTAATGACGCACAGTTTTTTTTATACAATGCTAGTTGAACTTTA